GCACAAATTGAAAAAGAATTTGTACTGAGGACCACAAAAATCCAATGTAGACTAAAAGCTGAGATTCCTCCATCCCTGACTTGGGGCACAAAGTTAGAACAAAGATATTCCTTAGATGCCCCCCAAAATGATAAACTTCTGCTAGCATTTTAAGTATAGCTAAAGACAGGTAGTTTTTGTGAATCTACCTATTACTAATAGATAATCCAAACATTAAATAAAAGGACTTTTTCCCATGTGTATGTTTAAAAAAATATCAAATCAAAGAGGAGTAAACAGAGCAAATTCATACTGCAAAGCTAACCACAGCCACAGTGCTCCAGACACTTCACAGGCCTTCCCCCCTCAGGTTTGAGGTAGGGTAGGAGTTGGGAGAGGGATGGGGAGAGAGACAGTCAGGGACAGAGAGACAAAAATCAAGGAAGGAAAAGGAGAAAAAAAGGAAGAGGAAAAGGAGGAAGATATAAGAATGAGAATCTCTAAAGAATTTCACATTAAAGGGGAGCTAATAAAGCCTGGCTATAACACATACTAAAGAACAATTCAAAGTATGATGGGGGCAGCGGTCCTGAAGTCAGGAGAACCTGAGGTTAAATCTGACCTCAGACCAAACACTTACTAGCTGTGTGACCCTGGGCAAGTCGCTTAACTCCAATTGCCTAAAAAAAAATTTGGGGCACCTAGGTGTCGCAGTAGATAGAGCTCTGGCCTTGGAGTCAGGAGGATGTGAGTTCAAACCCAGTCTCAGACATGTGACACTTACTAGCTGTGTGATCCTGGGCAAGTCACTTAACCCTAATTGCCTCACCAAAAAAAAAAATGTATGATGGTCCCCAGTACAACACACAGTACAGTGGATAGAGTACTGGAATTGGAGAGAGGAAGACCTGACTTTGAATCTTACCTCAAACATTACTAGGTAGGATCTCTCTCATTTTTATCTTTATATTCCTAGGATCTATCATACTGCCTGGTATACAGTAGGTGCTTAATTAATTCTTGCTGGTTGATTGACTTATTGGTTGATTATGGAGGTAGAAAAGAATTATTTGGTATCCTGGAAGCATTTGACTTAGAAAATTAAATGTAGAAATGATTTCCTTATTGATAGAGCCCATAATTTGCAAGCACAGCTAGGTGGCGCCATAGTGGATAGAGTGCTGGGCCTGAAGTCAGGAAGACACATCTTTTGAGTTCAAATCTGGCTTCAGACACTTACAAGCTGTGTGATCCTGAGCAAGTCACTTACCCCTGCTTGCCTCAGTTCCTCATCCGTAAAATCATCTGGAGAAGGAAATGGCAAACCATTTCAGTATCATTACCAAGAAAAGCCCAAATGGGGTCCCAGAGAGTCAGACACAACTGGTACGACTGAACAATAACAACATGAATATGTAAATGCTGTGTTTTAGCACCGCTTACTACCTGAGGAACAAATGACTGCAACTCTAATTATTGAAGATGCCAAGACTTGAGCTATTTAAAATAAACTTTGACAAAGGGGTCAAATGAATAAACTCTCCCTTGTCATTTTTTCAGGTTAAAAACACAATAATGCTGAAGCCGAATTCATGGACCTGGGTTTATCTAAAGAGCATCAAATTTTCATTGTCAAGCCTTTGTCATATGGTAATAAAATATGGGTTTGCTGTGAGATTGTGTGTGTGTGTATGTGTGTGTGTGTGTGTGTGCTATTTATATCAATTATCCACCATTCATGACAGAGGGCAGGAATATGTACAGCAAGCCCTATGAGGCTTTGCACACTGCACAGTATATAGCCCCAGCTTCTGCAAGTTGTCTGACAAAAAGGGAATGTAAAGCTCACAGAGATTGTTCTTTGTCTGGGTGATCAATGAGATCAAATTCCTAGCAGTGAATAAAGATGAAATTGGAGGCCAAAAAAAATGGTCTTGTGGAATTTCAGGCCCAGTGTTCAGATCTCAGCCAACAGTCTGACTAAATTAGAAAAGAATGGGTTTTATGAAAAGAGAGTAAGGTGCTAAGTATGGTGAAATTTGGAAGAGATATTTTTAAGGGTACTTTTAAACAACAGTTTTAATCATTTGTAAAGTAGATTTTGGTTCAAAGAAGGTCAGCAACTGTGTGAAAATGTTTGTAAAGTACTTTGCAAATGTTAAAGTGTTACTACATGTTTGCTATTATTTACTACAACTACTGCAACTACTACTACTACTACTACTACTAAATACTACTACTACTGCTACTGCTGCTACTACTACTACTACTACTACTACTACCACCACCACCACCACTACTACTACTAGATTCAGGCACTGATGTTCTTTATGAAAAAGTCATGGCCTATTGTCTCATAATTATTTCTTATCTCCCACTAAAAAGGTCCATGAAAGAGAATTTTTTAAAATGTGCAGGCCAGGATTATTGATGATATTTTTGTTCTAACAGAGCCAAAGAACAGAGCCAGAAAGCATGAATCAATGGAATTTGTTCTGTCATTGTGGCATGGGGGATATATTTATGATTAGCACTAGATGCACTTAATCCTGTAGAAGGATAAACTCATAAGAATCAATCATGAGCCCAGGTATAGATCAGTCAATGTGGAATTAAATTTCAGATCAACATTTCGAAGATATCAAGGTAGGGTAAGAAAATATTGAAAAGGCAGAGCCTTGGCTGTGGAATCAGAGGCACCAGTTCAAATCCAGCCTTTTATACTCCTTCCTTTGTGACTTGGGATGAGATCATTTAACTTCCCTAGACATCAGCTTCCTTATCTATAAAGTGAGAAAATTAGACTGGATGGCCTTTATGTTCCTTTCTGGTTCACGCCTAGGATCCTATAACATTATGGCAAATTTCCTGTCAGTTTATGTGATCCTTATCATGCTGTGCAGAAATTTGAGACACCCCCCCCCAACTAATTTTCTTGATTCAAAGGACTTAGAACAAGAAGGGACCTTAGATATCATTTTTCTGGTTTCCTCATTTTGCAAACAAGTGAACTGAGAGCCTCACAGGGCGGAAATGACTTGGCCAAGATCTACAACCAGTACATTTCAGAATCAGATCTTAAATCAGAGTATTGTTTCTCCAAATGAAGGGTACTTTCTAGTGGACCACATTGCCTCAATTATTTTCTGGACGTATGTACTATCCTTATGCTTTTGAGTATAAGTTCAGTGATGCATTGGATGTTTGTCACTGGAGGACCACTGACTTCAGAGGGGTTAATAACAAGGATGGCCCTGCAACCTTGAGGAGATTCAGTCATAGCAGTCCTTGAAGAAAAGCCATCAAGTCAGAGAGAGGCTAGGATCTGTACCAAATCAGGGATCCCACACACACCAAAGAATTTGCGATATTGTCATTTTCCCTACAGGTCCTCTGTGTTCCATCTGTACCTATTCATTCCAGGATAGTTCCCCTGGAAGCATTTGGCCAAGGGTAACTGTTTGTGATACAGCATTCAGAGAAATTGAGTCACATGGAAATATTCTGGATTTTGTAGCTCAAGTGTCTCTAATCATAGCTGTTAATTCTGAGATGTGGAGTTTTAGATTTGGGAAGAGTAGTTTGGGAGACACTCAGATTATCAGCTGGCAGGTTTGTGCAATGCACTAGGATGGAAGTGTGATGGTATTTCCCCAAAGAAACTGCTTAATATTGAATCATAGAACAATAAGGGAGCCTATGATTTTACTTCAGTTTTCTCTTTTCCAAGGAAAGCCAGTATGGAAGACTTAGAAAACAATTTGTGATGGTCATTACATGCTTTCCCCTAAAACCTTAGTGAATATAATGTGTATATCATAATCAGTGAAAACAACCATAACCTCTCAGTTATAATTACCAACAGTTCCCATAGAGTTTAAGCCAGTGAAAGAAAATCACTTAGAGAAAGCTTGTTTGTGTAAGTAATGAAAAACATGGTCACAGTTTTATTCTTAATTCAATAACTCAATTCAATAAGTGTTTATTAAGTGTAGTAAGTGCCAGACACTGTCCTGGGCACTGGAATTACAAAGACAAAAGTAAAATGGTTCCCGCCTTTGATGAGCTTGCACTCTACTGGGGAGACACAACATGCACACAAATAAATAAATACAAAATCTATGCATAGCAATACAGAGTAACTTCAAGAGGGAGAGACCACTGATAACTGAAAGAAAATGGAAGGTTTTGTGTTAGTGGAACTGGGCCACGCTTTAAAAGAAGCTCTGGATTTTTGGAGGAGGAGAGGAGAGTGTCTTCCAGACATAGGAGGACCATTTGTTGGAAGGCTAAATGGGCTACCACTGGGTCTGGAGTCATCAAAGCCTGGGTTTAAGTATGCTAGCTGGAGTAAGTTCTTTAACTTCTTTGAGCCTCAATGTTTAAAGTGTGGATAATAATACTTGACCTAACTACTTCACAGGGTTATTATGAGAGCCAAATGACATTATATATGCAATCCACTTTGTAACCATAGATTGCTACATGAATGCCAACTCTTAATATTATTCTATTGTCTGTGTTGCCTTTGTTCTAACAGTTTTCATATGTTTTGCTACATTAATTTTTTGACCATTCAAACACAACCAATTAATCGACATGTAATTAATTATTGGGAACCTTCTATGTGTCAAGAATGAAATACAATCTCAAAATTTCCCAGCACAATGGACGTCATTAGAATTCAATCTTAATTACTTACAGAACTTATAGAACAGATGTTGCTCTCACAATTAATTTTATTACATACAAAGTATGTTGTTAATTCCATATCTTCATGACATCTTCCCCCTTAGATCTGAGATTCTTATCATTGAGCCCTTTGGTAGTCTGGTGAAACCTGTGGACCCTTTCTCAGAAAAATGTTTTAAAATTCAGCAAATAAAATACATAGAGTTACAAAGGAAACAAATTATATCAAAATATATTTTTTAAAAAAAACAGTTGCATGGACCAATTAAGAACCCCTACCTTACAGGGACCCAGACTGAGCATCAAGACATTCAACATTAACACAATACTCATTCAATTTGATCATAATTCAGAGTAGAGGTTGAACTGAGCTGTGTTACCTGCTCAAAGAAGGAAATCCCATAGAATAAAGAGGCAGCTGAGAGGGGAGAAACACAGCTAGAGAAGGCTTTGAACCTCCTTTTGGAGGACAGGATCCTGAAGAAGACAGCCAGGATACAAACAAAGGAGATGAGGACAGTCAGGAAAGAGCTGTTAAACTCACTGTTCCAATAACAAACAGCTGATTTCCTTGAGGGCAAGTGTCTAAAGAGGCTAAGGTGAGTATCTGTGGGTCCGGGCAAGACAAGACATGGAGGATATTGGAGTCAAAGAAAAATAACTGAGAAGTTGAAACTGTGTATATCATAAGGCTGAGAAAAGCATGGGCAAAAAAGGCCATTATCAGGTGACTGCAGGCCCTCTTAGACATAATCACTGAATAGTACCAAAGAGGGTAACAGACAGATACATAAGGATCATAGATCATCGATATCTGGGGAAACTGTTCAGTGGGAGTGGAAGCACTTGGGAAATACCTATGGACAAAGTTAACAGCTGTCCAGCTAGGTGCCAAAGTACAAAATATCTGAGAGAAATAGCAGAGATCCACATAAAAGCTAGGGCTAAGGAAACAGTGCTGAACACAGGGAATATACTGGCCTAGCTGGAATATTGGACCCAATTCTCCCATAAGAATAATGGCATTGAACAATAAAAACAGAATCTCTTGTTGTTCTCCATTCAACAGGAACTCTTCGAGCAGGAACTCAAAGGTTGGGCTCTGATCTTCTCCAGCCATTTCATTCTTTGACTTTTCTCCTCTGAAAACATATGGAAACAAGACAAAATGAGGAAAAAGTTCCCAGTCTGAGCAATTGGGCTTAGTATTCCCAGTGAGCGCCCCACCTTTCAATTTTTCTTCCAGGCAACAGATTTGGGGGACTGCACTTAGAATCCTTGTTCTCATTTTCTTTACCATTTCCAAAGAGCTCTGAAAATACACCTCTCCTTTGACCTATGGGAGCCTCTTCTCTTTGTCACATCTTACATGGCCTGCTTTTCCTCCTCACTTGTATTTATCACTATTGGTAGGTTTTCTATTCTGTACTAACCCTTCAACTGTCTCCAAAATTTTCACAATTTATTACTATGTCCTTTTTTTTAAGGTTGCCTGATGAATGATAGATTTGACTCCATTGATTATACATCTCATTATTCATTGAAAAGGCAGAATTATATACTAAGGAGAATGCTGGACTTGGAGTTAGGAAGACCTGGCATCATATTACCTATCTCTCAGACAGTTATTAGCTGTATGGCCCTTGATAAGTAAATGAATTTCTTGGAGTGTCAGTGACCTCACATATAAAATAGTAATAATAACTGTCTACCTCATGGGATTGTTGTGATGACCAAATGTGATTATTTATGTAAATTGTTTTGCAAACCTAAAATCATAATATAAGTGACAATTATTAATTTTTTAAAAATTCATTAAGAACCTCCTCTGGTTATAGTTACTATGCTCAGAATTCTTTTGATAAATTGAAATCACATGAATATGAAATGAATTATTGTTCTTTTTTTCAGCTCAGGTATATCATTATAAACTCACTTTTCAACTGTTTTCATAATCTTTCCTTCTAATTTTCTCACCATTTTAGTTTCTTTTGTATATTTACTAGTAACCTATTATTTTAAGTCAGGTCTTCATGCCTTCCCCAAGTGATTCATCTTTAAATATAAAACACTGCTCTTTTTTAAGTCATGGTAAAGGAAAAAATTCAAAAGTCCAATTACTATTCTACCAAAAATATCTAGGAGAAAAAAAAACATTCAGTAGATCTGTAAAGTGAACCTAATTATATGAAGCATTTAACTCAATGGATAATATAAAAAATGAGTCAGTCTTTCCAAATGTTTAAAGGGAGAAGGACAGATAATATCATGTACATCAAGGATATAAAATAAAAATCTGATATTTATAATTTTTTTCTGCAAATAGAATCTCCACAAAACTTTGCAAGTGAAAAAAGTACAATTTTAAAGCTCTTTGACATTCTTTAATTCACTTTTTAGAGTTTCCTATGGAAATGAAACAATAATTTGCCACCCTGGATCCCATCACCACCATTCCCACAGTATCTCATACTTTACCTTGATACTATTTAAACTCCTAATTGGCAAAGCAAGTAAATTTCCACACTCTTTAAAAATGTCAAATTAAAACTTACTGGTTAAACTCCTCTCACCTTTTGCCTGCAGGGTTTGCTACAAAATCAGTATATTACTTACCAATTATCCATAAGGGAAGCGATAATGGTTTCAGAAACGACATCTCAATTTTCAATTGTGTTGTGTTACAAAGAGATAGGTAGCTTCAGGATCTCCCCCCAAAAGAGTATTGCTCCAGTGTTTGTACTCAATTGTTTGAATATATAATGTTAAGAATTAATGAGTTGTTCCCTTGTTAATGAGTGTTCCCTTCCCTTGCTATTTCTGGTAAGACTCAATAGTCTCTAACATACATTACCTAGAGAGCAGCATTGATCCATGACTTAGATATGCTCTCAGTCTCAATTCTAGGGGGGTATGGAATGAAAGAAGGGACAAAGTTTATTGTTTTGTTATGTTTTACTCATCAATCCATAGGGTTTTATGCTAAAGTGTACATCTCACTTGCTAGCCAAAATATAGATGTTAAATCTCCAAGCTAATGTTAAAATTCAAGGTGCACGTATTGGTTTACTATCAGCAAATACTGCTGTACTCTCTAAGGAACTATTATACTAAGCTACAAAAAGCCTTCCTAATCCAAGCCCAAAGTCTAATTTTAGGTAAACAAGTTTCAAATGAATCGAAAGGAATTATGCCAACAGTCTCAATAATGAATATGCCTCAGTTTGCAATAAGATGTTTTGATCTGGGTCTAATTGAATCCAAGGCTACTTGGGCTGCTTCTGCAAATATGCCTTTATTTAATACCATTAAAGATGCAATTTATAGTACAAAAATTCTGAATCCCAGCTCTGCGACTTAATACCTGAGTGACCTTGGGCAATTCACACAAACTCATTGCCTCATCTGTAAAACTGGCTTGGAATAGATGGCCTCTGAGGTCCTATCCAGCTCTAAATCTATAATTCTATGTGATAATTATGTCTGTAATTCTGAAATAGATGTACACATATACATACACATATATTCGCCATGCAACATGTGTTTTTAAAATGCATTACTGTTATTGAAATGTTAATTACTAATCATTTATAAGAAATAGATTCTATGAAAAGATAAAAGAGGCAACATGCTAAAGCAGGTAGACAGCCTACTTTAGAATCAGGAAAACGTGGGCCCAAGTCCTGCTTATGATACGTACTGGCTATGAAATCATGGGTCCCTCATTTAAATTCTCATTGCTACTTTCTAAGACTATAAGTTATAGATGGTTAGCTACTCTGCAAGAAGGAGTTTCCACAATAGGAGTTCACTCACCCCAACGAAATCCCAGACCTGAACACACACTAAGAAAGATGATCACAAATATTACAAATCCTTGACTTTACTTCATGTATCTGCAATCTCATTGATGCAGAAATTCCCTCCATGATACAGGTCTCAATCTATCCATGGCTGCGTATCTTTAGTTACTCTTGTCCAAGTCTTTCTCTAATATTCATCACAAGAGACCAACCCAAAGTGCTGAAAGTCTTCCTCTTTTTATTTTTTCCAGTCAAAAGACAAGGTTTATTGTAAAGTCAATAGTGCAGGTTCTAGGGAATATGCCCCTCTCTTTCTTCCAACACTCTGAAGGTACCAGTGGAATGGTCTAGCTGTCCACTTATCAGACCTTGCTCTCACCACTCCAAAGTCAAATTCTTTTTCATAATCAACAAACAATGAGAACAATGGAATCTCAGAAAACGCTTTTTAATAGATAGGTCATTGAAGAATTAAAACAAACACAAAAACTTAGGGCTTTTCTCCAGGCTAAAAGTCTTCAATTGTTTCATATTGCCTATCAAGTAAAATTAAAACTCCTTTACCAAACAATGAAGAGCCTCCATAATTTGTGGCTACCTCTAATTTGCACTTTACTACTCCTCTCTGTGCATCATATACAAAAGTCAAATTGAACTCCCCTCTTCCCTTCAAATATATCCAGCAATTTTCTACTCCTTGCTATTCTCATATTCCTTGCCTATGCCTGTAATGTCTTCTCTCCTCCACCCATCCTTTAAAGTGTAACTTAAATAGTTATCTCCCACAAGAAATTTTCCTTAATCTCCTCAGATGATAGCAACCTTGGTCCTTCAGGTGCCAATGACTACTCAATCATTGCCTCAAATGTACATAAAATTTTTTTTAATACCAGAATTTCTATGTAAGTGTCAATTTCTTGCTATACACTTGCTATACAAGGGCAAGAAATATGTCTTAAATAAGTTTTATATCTTCCCCGGCACCTTATTCCACAAGCAGTAGATATTTGTGAAATTGAATTATGAATTAAATTTAGGAGATAAGTCTAAACATTTCCTCTGGGGGAAAAAAATAGATTCACACTTTCTCAAAGCCATTGCATAATTTACACTATAACCTCATCTTTAACCTTTTTCTACCTCCCCATTATTACTTCCAGACAGATGCTTGAATAGCAACATTTTTTTACTTCTCTTCATGAAATCTACATTAACCATTCCTAAACCTATCATCAAATAATTGCTAATGTTCTCTACTTTCTCATTCTCTTCCCTCCTCAATGACCAGCTCTTCCTTTCCATCAACCTATCATTATCAATCTTTTTAAAAAATAAATTAATTTATTTTTAGTTTTCAACATTCATTTCCACAAGATCTTGAGTTTCAAATTTTCTCTCCATCTCTCCTCTCCCCCTACCCCAAGACAATGTGCATTCTGAATACCCCTTCTCCTGATCTGCCCTCTCTTCTATCACCCCCACTTCTCTGATTCCCTCCCCCTTCTATTTTCCTGTAGGGCAGAATAGATTTCTATACCTCATTGTCTGTATATCTTATTTCCAAGTTGCATGTAAAAACAATTTTTAACATTTGTTTTTAAAACTTTGGGTTCCAAATTCTCTCCATTCCTGCCTGCCTATCCACCCTCATTGAGAAGGCAAGCAACTAGATACAGGTTATACATGTGTAGTCATGCGAAACATTTCCATAATAGCCATGTTGTGAAAAACTAACTATATTTCCCTTCATCCTATCCCGCCCCCCATTTATTCTATTCTGCCTTTTGACTCTGTCCCTCCTCAAAAGTGTTTGCTTCTGATTACCACCTCCCCTAATCTGCCCTCCCCTCTATCATCCTCCCACTCTCTTATCCCCTTCCCCCCTACTTTCCTGTAGGGTAAGATAGCTTTCCATACCCAACTGAGGGCATATGTTATTCCCTCCTTAAGCCAAATCCAATGAGAGTAAGATTCATTGATTCCCTCTCACCTCCCCCATCTCCACAGTAAAAGCTTTTTCTTCCCTCTTTTATGTGAGTTAATTTACCCCATTCTACCTCTCTCTTTCTCATTCTCCTTGTATAATCCTCTCTTACCCCTTAATTTTATTTTTTTTATATCATCCCTTCACGTTCAGCCCCCCAACTACCCTAATACTGACAAAGGTCTCATGAGTTACAAATATCATTTTTCCATGTAGGAATGTAAACAGTTCAACATTGATAAGTCCCTTATGATTTCTCTTTCCTGTTTATCTTTACATGCTTCTCTTGAGTCTTGCATTTGAAAGTCAGATTTTCTATTCAGTGCTGGTCTTTTCAGCAAGAATGCTTAAAAGT